CAGTTGAGATTGTCTAAGGGACTGCGATGGGCTGAACTGTGTTCCCCACAGATGAATTGGCAAAAGTTGTGTGGTAGATATATTTACAACAACGACAAAAAAAAAGGTAGCTGCTGAGGCTGCTTAAGTACCACCAAACACCTCACGGGATCTGGTTCCTTGGTTTGGAGGTTTAGGGTCATGGTCTCATGGGACACCCCAGTAAACTGGTCTAATAACACATTTAGTGCTTCTGTTTACTTCCTAGTTCACTGTGTAGCACCTGGGGTCTTAAAAGCTTGCAAGTGGCTATTGAAGGCACAACAGTTGGTCTCTATCTGCCTGGAGCAACAGAGGAAGAAGGAGCATCCGGAATAGGAAGAAGATTCGGAATGTGTGGCTAACTGCCTCTGTGAACAACTGCCTCCTTTGCCATGAGATCAGAAGAAGTGGATGGTGCCCGGCTATCATTACTGGACATTCTGAGCAAAAATTATACAGAAGAATCCTGATCAGAAGAATAAAAATGCAAAACAGAATTTCAAAATCATGGAATCCAGATTTTCTAGGGCCATGGAGGCTAGATGAACGCCTAAAACTATCTGCCCTGAGATAATCTTTAAACCTTAAACCAAAAATATCCCCTGAAGTCTTCTTAAAATGAAATGATAGTTTAGCTTAACTAGTAAAGAATGCTTGTCTTGAGCATCATGCTCTTCTGATATATCCATATAGGAGAAAAATCGACAACAGCAACTTGAAAGATTAGACAGCAACCTCAGGGAGGAGTGAGTTTATGTTAAAGGGGAGGAACATCTGGAAAAGGAGAGTGAGAATGGATGCAAAACTCAAAGAATGCGATCGATATCGCTGAGTTGTACATGTAGAAACTGTAGCATTGGTGTATGTTTTGCTGTGTATATTCTCAACAAGAAAAATAAATTATTTAAAAATAACAATAATTACACAGAGGTAAGAGGGACATTAAGGTAAGGGCCGCCGTACTTCTGTAAAGAGCCAGACAGGAACTACATTAAGCTTTGCAGCCAGGCTGTCCCTGTCACGGCACAAAAATCAGCCGGACTGTATGTAACTGAGTGGGTGTGACCGTGTTCCAAAACTTTATTTAGAGGCACTGAAATTTGAATTTCCTATGGTTTTTACACATTGCAAAATACTGTTTTTTTGGTTTTTTTTTTTGCTTTTTTCCGACTCTTTAATGGCAGAAAGCATTCCTAGCTTGGGGGTTGTCCATATCAGGTGGTGGGCCAGACTTGGCCTCTAGGCCACTTGCCAGCCCCTGACTTAAGTCATAGAACACAGATGAGACCCCACCTGAATTTCCACCTAAACTCAAGAATTCCAAAGTGCGTTATTAAGGAACACACTCCCCTGCCAGCCACTCCCACAGTGCTACAAGGTTAGGTTCCTCCCACAGGCCCGGGCCTCGGCCCACCCACGACCCTGAACCTATGCTGCTGACCCCAGCTTCGGGCAGTTCCGATTCTCCTTTGTGGGCAGGTGTGTCAAAGCACTGTACCAACAGCATCGTGTTCAGATCGATTAATTTTAAAGAAAAATAAGGCACTTGTGAAAAACGTGAAGCACCCTAGCTCTGACAGACAAAATGATTTTGTTCCTAAGTACCCAGGAAACCCCACCCCAAGGTCACGGCAACCTGCACGGCTGCGTCCCCACGCCTGAGATGCCGTCACAGGCAGCTGGTCAAAGCTCGACTGAACACGTCAGCTGACATGTCAACACACCAAAGCATCAAAAACACATTTTTTTCAAGTGATGAAGTGAACATCCCAGTCACAAACAACACACTCATCAAAACGGCTTTGTTCAATAGGTTCTGAAATCAGTTCCGCACGCTGCTGCTAAAGGATTCTGGAAAGCTGCCAAAAGCTCATCTTTATTGATCAGTAAGAGTTCAGCGGACGGCCCGTGCTGCTTTGCAGAGAGTGCAAGTCAAAATAATCGATACGCATGAATTTACTAATAATTCCTCTTTAAAATTAAGTTTCCCTCCAGGGCTTAAAGGTCTTACATGTTTTGAAAGGAGTCCATCTTCTGCACCAACGCAGAACTCTGAAAGGTTGGGAACATCCTCTACCTGCGTGTCCCAAACAGCAGCCGCCAGCGACCCATGGCTGCTGAGCACTTGATACATGCCCAGTGTGACAAAGAGCTGAACTCGTAACTTCATTTAAATTTCAACAGCCACATGTAGCTAGTGGCTACCGTACTGCGCAGCATGCTACCATTCAGGATGAGGTATTAAAATAGGCATCATGCTGCCGTAATTATTTCGCTCACAGGGATAGCACAAACTCACTACGGGGGTGGCAGAAAAACCCATGACTGCTATGCCCACCAGTCCGTGGGTTTCCTCCAATATGAAGGACCCGATAAAAAGCTGCAGGTGGTCCCACCACATCGCCTGTAGTATCTTTAGCTGCGCAAGCACAGTTCTACACAGTTACCCTTCAACCAGAAGGCAGCACAAGACTCAGACAGGAGGCCGGGGCTTCGTGACACAGCATCCTTCAGAGGTGAGCGCAGGTCCTGTCTCCAGTCGGCCCCAGGCGGCCAGCTGACCTGGACAGGACCTCACTACCGCCGAGCACGGGAGCCAGGAGTGACGCCCACCTTGTTCTTCATCAAGGAGATGCCAGGGCGGGAGGGGCAGGTAGAAACGGCTGGCTCCTTCCAGGCGGTGAGCTGGCCGCCGGGCGCTGAGGTCAGCAGCCCGAGGATGCGTCGCCCGACTTCAGCTTCTTGGCGTGTCCATTGGGCCCAGGCTGTGAGCTCTTCCGTCGCTGCCTCTTCTCCAGCTGCTGCTGCAGCCTTTCCTCCTTCTTATGCAGGTAGGTCGCCATGTTGTCGAAGCTGGCCTTGTACAGACTACTGAAGCTGTCCCCCACGCCAGCGGAGCCTAGGACAGAGACAGAACAGAGTCCGGGTGGGACAAGGGACAGGACACCTCCCGTTCAGATGCAGCTCCAGCTACCCTGACGAGAAGTCACTCATAACGCTTCCTCCCTCCCTGACGCCCCCCAGCAGGCGACCTGACTGTTGGACAGGGCTGAGTGCACTCCCCAAAACAAAGCAAACCAGTTGCCATGGAGTTGACCCCAACTCACAGCGACCTCATCTGTGTAAAAGTAGACCTGTGCTCCACGGGGTTTGCAATGGCTGATTTTTTGGAAGTAGACTGCCAGGCCTTTCTTCCAAGGGACCTCTGGGTGGACCCAAACCTCTCACTTTAGCAGCCGAGTGCGCTGTCTGTTTGCACCACTCAGGACTCCATGCGTTTCCCACATGCGCTATATTCTGCTCACCACGGGGGACCCCACTGTGTACAGCATTCTGCAATCTGCATTCTCCTATAGACAACTTTAGGCTCGTTCCTGAGAAGCAGTATACGCTAATGTCCTCACCTTCTAACATGGCCCAATTCCCGCGAAGGTGACTGGAGACTTTCTTTAGCACGTCGTCTTCAGAAACAGACTGAAGAAGACAAGCGGAAGGCCTTTCAGAAAGGGGCAGGACTGGACCCACCAGGACTGCGCAGCCCTGGTGAGGGGAAAGCGTGGCGCTGGAAGACCCCCTGCAGCCTCGCCATCTGACCAGCGTTCTAGTCCAGACCTGGGCAGTGGGCGGGGGTCTCGCCCACCGAGCACGGCCTCCAGCAGGCTCACTGTGCTAACTCTCTGACCCAAGGAGCCAGAGGACCCGCCGGGCGCCCGGGGGACTGTGCTTTACCGCTGCTCGTCAGAAAAAACACCAGAAAGGCGTGAGCAGCATTGGCAAAGGTGACAGGGAGCATCCACACACTATCTCACTCAGCCCCACAACATCCTGTGACGAGGGATGCTCCCACTTGACCAATGGGAAACAGACTGAGAGCAATGCAGGTTACCTCGCCGCCCTCGAACAAGGGGCTGCCTCCCCACCTCTACTGCCCTCCACATCACGGGCTTCAAGCTCTGCTGAGACCCCCGCCCAGGGCCCCAAGCCTCGACTCTGCTAAGCTGCCAGCAGAGGGACACAGAACTAAGCCACACTGGGGTTGGCCTCACCACTGACAAGATGTGTATGATGAGGACATACGTGGGAAAAATTCACAAAGGAAGGCCAGTGTCCAGCTAGGGAGAAAATGTATTTCCAGGCATCATCAACCTATGCAGACCCTGGCCAAGCTCCCTTCCCTGCCCCTGCTCCTCACACACAGCCACTGGGATGGGCAAGTGACACAGCCAAAAGGTCTCATGTACCCAGCCAATATCAGAGTCCCCCCAACCTGACCCATGACTTACAGGACTGAAGGAGCCAGAACATTCCAGAAGGGCACATCTCACCTGCCACTGCCCCTGCACTGGCTGGTAGAGCACCAGCGGAGCTTCCTGGCAGTCCTGCAGGACCCACAGCCTCTGCGTCTCCTCAAAGGCAACGTCCCACACTCGGTGCTGGAAGGACAGCTGCTGCCTGTACACCAGCAGGTGCCGGGGGACGTCCAGCTGGAAGATGCAGACCACAGGGATGCTGGGCATGGAGAGAGAGGAGAGAGAGAAGGGACTGCCACAGCCACCAAGACACGCGGGCGTCGGCTGACATGACCGAGTCTCGGCACCCCCGGTGGGTCTCACGGTGGGGTCCCGGACCGGCAGCCGCGGAACCTGTTGGAAATGCACATCTTCAGACCCACCCCCCAGGCCCACTGAATCAGAAACCCCAGGTGGGGACCAACAATGTGCTTCAACAAATCCTCCAGGTGATTCGGACGCACACTCGAGTTTGAGAATCACTGGTGGCGCAATGGTTAAGAGCTCAGCTGCTAACCAAAAGGTCAGCAGTTGGAATCCACCAACCGCTCCTTGGAAACCCTATGGGGCAGTTCTACTCTGTCCTATAGGATGGCTATGAGTCGGAATCGACTCGACGGCAACAGGCTTGGTTTGGTTCTAGAGCAAGGGTCGGCCAGCTTTCTCTGTAAATATTTTAGGCTCTGGGGACCACGTGGTCTCTCTCAAAACCACTCTGTGGCTGAAGCATGAAAGCACCACAGACTATACACAAGCGAGCGGGCGTGGCTGTGTGCCAGTGGAACTTTACGGACCCAGAAACTTTAATAGCATGTAATATTTGTGTGTCACAACACGTTCTTTCAATTTCTTTGCAACCATTTAAAAATGTCAAACATTTTTAGCTCCTAGGCAGTACAAAACCAGGCAGTGGGCCCTGTCTGCTGACTCCCGTTCTAAAAGGTAAGGGGAGTTGTTGGTGTACACATCCCTCCAGCGGCACCACCCCATTTGTTGTTGTTAGGTGCCATCGAGTTGGTTCTGACTCATGCAGACCCTACATACAACGGGACAAAACGCTGCCCGGTCCTGCACCTCCTCACAATCGTTGCTATGTTTGAGCCCGCTACTGCAACCACTACATACCCCCAAAATCAAGAGTGTGCACACACAAGCCTAACCCGAATCCCAAGCAACTGGGACCCTTCCTCCTGTCGGGGCCACGGCAAATCCACAGAACAGGTGCCGAAGGCTCTGGGGCTTCCCACTGGGGGGCCTACTGCACTGCTCTGGGGTGGGTGTGGGCATCTGTCCAATTGCTTATGGAGGGGAACTCTGTCCAATCAACTACAATCAGCTATTGGGAGGCGGGGGGGCGGGGGACTCTGTCCAGTAAGCTATTGGAAGAGGGATTCTATCCAATCGGCTCTCAGGGGAGATTCTATCCAATCAGCTGGGGGGCGGGGGGGGCTGGCCAATCAACTCTCAGGAAGAACTGTATGACACACACAAAAAAAAAAAACAAAAAAATCAAGTCAGCAGCCACTACTACCCTCAAAATAAATACCAAGTGAGACCAAAAAAAAAAAAAACCAAACCCGCTGCCGTCGAGTTGATTCTGACTCACAGCGACCCTACAGAGCTCTCTTAAAGAAAGAAACCCAGAGCCCTCAAACAGCAGCATCACCGAGAAGTGCGAGCCACAGGAGGGAGGAAGTGTACTGGCCACAACGTCGACATTTTCCTCACGGAGGACGACACGGCCCGTGGGATCAGGGCGACGATTCATGTGACCCCCCACGGGTCCGCAGGACAAAAGCCCCACAGAGCTGCCGGGCGCTTACCTGTCACACAGCAGGGCGACCCAACCGTCCTGGCGGCAGTACGTGATCCGGGACGCGGCGAACCTCTGCAAGAAGAGGGGGCTCAGCAGCCACCACCACCCAGGAGCGGACGCAACCAACCCACAGGACTGTACACCCCCACGTGTTGACAAGGAAGGGGAGAGAACGAGTTCCAGGACCTTCTGGAAAACCGGGAACCACTCATTTCACACACATTCTGCCTCGCCGGGGCCCGTGGCAGAAGCTTCTCGTGGCTCGGGCCCTTTCCCCGGGCTCCCTGTGACTGGCCAAAAGCAAGGAGAGGAGAGAACAGAGAACTCAGAGAGAAAGAAAGGGATTATTATTATTTACCAGACACAAGAACCCGAAGTGCCTCCACCCTTCCTGGGAGAGGAAATAAGATATAAAGCAAGCAGTCAGAACTCAGAGCCTGGAGAAGTCTGAGGAACAAGCCGGCTGCTCGCTGGGGCCACCCAGCAAGAAGCCCAGCGCACTCTCAGAATGGCCCCAGGGCAGGGGCAAGAGCACCAACAGGTGAGGGCCGTCCACAGCACAGGGAAGTCGAGCCACCATGTGCTGGCACCCAACCGGCCCGACTGAGTCAGACCCTGTAGCCACAGCGCTCTGCCACGGGCGCTGCTCACGCCATAGAAACGGGACCAGCACTGGCCTTGCCCACAGGTGGCTGTGTGGGATAAGTGAGGGCACGCAGCGGCCAGGAGCAGCGCCAGGCTGACAGCCTGTGGGGTCCTTGGGCCCCGACCCGGCTGGTCTGACCTGCTTACAGGACAGCTGTCACGGAGCAGCGTAGGCCCAGAGGAGTGGGGGCGTCACACAGAGGGTGAGGCAGATGCGTCGTCCCCTCCCCACCTCCCTCTTAAACAGAACGCGCCCCCAGACCACATCATCGACACCAAGGGAACGCTGAGCCCTCAGAGCTGCGGGGGCCCAGCAGGAGCTCCAAGGCAAATCCAGAGCTCTCAGCCCGAGGACACGGCAGGGCACCCGTGCCACTGAGAAACTGCCCACAGGCCAACGCCGTGCACCAGCTCCCCAATCCTGAAGGGAGCAGACCTGAGCAGAAACAGAAGCTAAGCTCTCCTGTCCCTGCGCAGGCCCAGGGCCACCTCAGGGCAGCACAGCGGGAAGCTGGCGGGTGTCATCCAGGAGCACCCCGCACCCTGTGTCCAGTACTGGGCTCTCCCGAGCACACAGGACTCCAGACCAACCAAAAAGGCAGCCACGTCTTTTTGACAGAAAACCTCCCCGGCAACCAAAGGCCCAGGTGACGTGACCTCAGGGACACACAGGAGGACTGGGCAGGGATTCACAGAAACCCGCCAACAGGAGGTGCCGTGCAGAAAAGACAAAGCCTCCAGTGTGTAAAAACTAGAGAGGCCAAAACGTCAATGAAGCGGGTAACGGCATTCTCCTGAGGCTGAGGGCCGCGCTCCAGCCTCCCCGCACTCCAGAGGGACCTGCAGACATGGGCTGGCGAAAAGCATCTGCCTCCCAAAGTAGCCCCCCACTCAGGAACCTGGAGGCTGAGACACCAGTCAGTCCTCACTGGAGTCCGTTCTGAAGAGGAGGATGTACGGGAAGCGCTAACCGTTTAAACACCATTAGCCTCATCACCGTCATCACAACCAAAGAAGGGCCTGGGACGCCACCCAGACAGCTCAGAGCCGCGGAGAAGGGGCACGTGGCCTCTGACACATTCAGGGAGCGCGGTGCCCTCTGCTGGCACCTGGTGACGCCCTCAGCTTGCAACACCAAACCAGAAAACCAAACCCATCACCATCGAGTTGATTCCAACTCATAGTGACCCTACAGGACAGAGCAGAACTGCCCCACAGCGTTTCCAAGGAGCACCTGGTGGATTCAAACTGCCGACCTTTTTGGTTAGCAGCCCTAGCTCTTAACCACTTCACCACCAGGGTTTCCAAGTGCGACACACGGAGGTGCAATGCAGAGGAGGGTGTGTGGGCAGCAAGGCGTGTACATCCAGGACCCCCACAAGACGGAGCCCTGTGGGAGGGCACAGGCCGCACAGAGGAGATGCAGACTGATGTCCCGCAGAGCCGGCCGGGAAGGACAAGCTGTTACACAATGGTGCCCCCACCCCCGTGTGAATCAGCAAGTGGCCAGCCATCCCCCAGCACCGCTGGGGAGCAGCATGCTGGGCAGAGCCCACGGGCCAGACCTGCAGGAGGTTTTCCCGGCTGGAAGGTGGGGTTGGGGGAGAGCTGGGGAGTGACTGCACACCCACACAGCACTAGAGCCCAAGGACAGCTGCTGGGAACAGACCAGAACCCGCCCCCAGGAGGCCTGAGTGTGTGCAGACAGAGCAGACAGGGCAGGAAAGAAGCCAGAGGGAGCACAGCTGACAGCACCCTGTCCAAGAAACAGGGCCACGGGACACCCGACCTGGGTGCAACATGGGCCAGTCAGAGGCCGGGAACCTGGGCAAGGGCCCCCATGTCCCCACCAGGCTCACATCCTACCCCGCTGAATCTCCACCCCGCGCCACCTGCTGGCCAGAACAAACCACCCTTCCCACTAAGATGGCGCAACCATCCCACGCAAACTTTAGGAGCACCCAGGGCCAGTGCCCCCTGGAGCTGTGAGGTGACCCTAGAGGATGCTTGGGGCACTGAGCCCCACTCACCCACCCACACGGCACCCCTGCGAGGCTGCTGGCTCGGGCACCAGTGTCCTCTGTTTCCAGGCAGGAGAGAGAAGACCTCCTGTTAACCGTTTGTCTGACACACACTAAGTGAGACCCACACGTGACTCCCCAACATGGCGGGGTGCCTCCAGCATCTGACATACACGGTTTTTTCCACCCTGGAAGAAGTCTGACATTGGCACCAAAGACGCAGTTCCAATGTGAAAACAACGGTTGTCACAGAACCCAGGGGCCCGGGCACATGCCGGCAAGTCCAGGTGAGCCGTGTGGCACCTCACCTTCTCTCTCTGGGGTGCATCCGGCTCCTGCAGGCTGGGCACGGGACAGCGGTGCAGCTCCCGCCCGCTCCGGTACTCCCAGAGCCGCAGAGTTCCGTCCTGCATGCCAAGCACACGGGTTAGCCCACATCACCTGCAGACACGGGAGGCAGCTCACACACAGACACCAGGCGTTCAGAGGCTGGCGTATGGCACTGAGTGTCCCGCTGTCGTCTGTGGCCACGCCGATGAGAGCGGGCCTGGCTCCGTAAACTAGGGGCTCCCTGCTCGTCTCACTGCACAGACGCTCACACGGACCCTCACAAGAACAAGGACGACCCCACCGGAGAATGGGCCAAGGGCTCAAGACAACCAGCCCGTCTTGTTCAAGGTCAGAGACCACGTCTGGTGGGCCCATCCAAGCGTGCACGCACACTCACTCACTCGCAGACACACACGTCCTCACACACGCACGAGCAACCAGCAGTGAGCCAGGAGCGAGCCTCAGCCACTCCACACTCAGAACAGCAAGCACCACCTAGCGGCCACCGAGGAAAAGGGACACGCGGCCTTCCCGCCAGAGGGCTGCTGGGCGCCTGAGCAGCCCAGCCCCGAGCGGCCACCACCACCCGACCTGGCCCCTGGGCTCCTGGCTCTGCTGTGAGGAAACCAGGGAATGGCCGGCACGCACAGCACTCACCCCGGAGGTGGACAGCAGCAGCTCCGGGTGGTCAGGCACCACGAATATCCGGCTGACGAACCTGCAGTGGGGCGGTAAGAAGTGGGGGATCAGCCCAGGCTCCACGGCGTCTGCGTGAGGTGCAGACAGCCTGCAAGCAGAGGCCCCTCAGCCTACCGCTGACCTCACCAGGCTCTCCTGCCCCCAGACGAGCAGCGCGTGAGAACAGGAGTCAGGGACACACGGGCCGTCCTCGGGCCTGCACCAACAGTACAAGGGCGTTACAGCGAGGACGCTCCTGGCCCAGGAGCTCCCCCAGACACGGCCACCAAGGACCACCTCACTGCCCCCCACGCCTCACCTACGCCAAGCACGTCACTACACGTCTGCCACCGAGTGATGATGGCACCGACGACAGGGAGACCCCAGGAAGGAGCGCGGGGGAAGGAAGGGCAGGGACGCGGAGGGTCACGCCCCCTCACAGCCAGGCCCTGGGCACCTGAAGCTCCCTCCACAGAGCAGGAACAAGAGCCGGCTTGTTCCCCAGCCACCAGGCAGTCTCGGCACCAGAAACCTGAGTGACCCAGCCAGAGAACTGTCTCGGCTGGACCACACCAAGTCCCCACAGAGCACCACGTCGCGGCTGCTCTCCTGACAAAGCAGTGGTTGAGAGTGGACCCCAGAGCCCGCCTCAGCCATCAGTCACGCCTGTGGCCTCAGTACCTCCAGGATGGCGGACCCTTGTTCCCGCCAGCTCGGGCTGCAGCCATCGTTCATGCACCCAGCTCCCTCGCTGGTCCCTCAGGCCGGCCCACCACAGCCCTCCCAGCCCCGTCCCTACCGGCCTACCCCACCCCTCACCAAGGGCTGCCTTCCAGGAAGACGCTCGGGGCCCCAGCCTCAGTTCCTCAAAAGGGAAAAGACAAAATGCACATTCCGGGACAAATCTGCCTTGCTTTCTGCCCTGATGGCACAGGGCTTACATTCTAGAGGGCCCAGGTCCCCCCAAAGGTCTCAACAGGAGAGAAACATTCATTCAAGTACCTACTGACCACCCACCACATGCCAGGCACTGCACTGCGGGGCGGACAGCAATGAGCACAAACCAGAACCCACCAAGGAAACGCCGCAGGGGAACAAACAGACATCTGAACGGGGCTACGGGCCTAGCACAGTGCTGGCCAACAGGATACCAGGCCAGCCACGGATGGAGGCGTGACTGTCATTTTTAATTTTCTAGAAATCGCATTAAAAAAGTAAACAGAGTACGCATTTGAATTTAAAAACGGATACGTGAGTTCATAATTCCCCCATAATAAAATGTCTGTGCTTCATTCTTTTGACACGTTTATCCATTTTTAATTTAAGTGAAACATTACAGGTGTTACATATTTAAAATAGCATTAAATTCTTAGAACCGTAAAAACTTAATAAAGGTTTTCACAACAAAAAAAAGTAAATAGGAACAGCTAAAGCTAAATTTAGTAATATATTCTTATTTAATACATGTCCAAAGTATTGCCATTCAACCCATAATCAACGTAAAAAGTTACTAACGAGATGTTTCATACTTTTTTTGTATTAAGGCTTTGAAATCAGGTACGTGTTGGGCATGGACAGCTTATCTCACCTCAGACTAGCCAGGGAGGAAGTACCTGGCCATGACATGGGTCATTCGAGAGGCAGCGGGCGGGGAAGGCCATTCTGACAACAGGTGGCCTCACGACCAAAGCTGAGGGAAGGAAGGAGTGTGGGCTGTGTTGGCAGAACCCCACGTGCAGAGGCCCTAAGAGCAGCGTGCCTGGCGGGGTCGGGCGCAGCGAGGACCCCCAGCAAGCCCAGAGCAACCGGGAAGGGCTGGAGAGCCTGTGGGTCCTAAGGACTCCAGGCTGCTGATTACGAAGGAGCCAAACAAAAGTCAAGGTAAGCTATCAGGAGGTACAAATGGAGTGCCCAACAATCTTCTCAGAGGTCAACATGTGCCTTCCATTAGAAACCAGGAAAACACGAGCAATCCCAGAACTGAAGTAAATCCCTCCCATTTCTTTCATGTCCTCAAATTATGTATTTTAAAACAATTTGGCCAATTAAACTAAGTGCTTTTCCTCTGTGAAAATTCTAATTAGCCTTTTGCCTGAGAATGGCGGCATTCTTCAGAAAACGCCTTCCTTGTCCATCAAAATGCCATTCAGAAGACAGCTCATGTGCCAGGAAGCAGAGGTGATGGGGAAAACGGCCGCCGAGTTCAAGGCTATTTAATCCTTTGACAGTTACAGCTAGTAAATTACGATCCCCGAACTGCCCAGCAGAGCCGGGGCCTCTATCCTAAGAACTGGGGAGGTTCCAGAACAGACTTGCACCACCAGGCTGGCGTGGAACAACAGACCAGAGGAACAGGCTCAGAGCAAAATCAACTGCCTTTTCTCATCTCCCGGTCACACTGGGCTTCGGTGGGCGGCAAAAACACACGGTTGGTCTGGTCTGGCTAAGACTTCAGCAGCAATGAAAAATCTCTCCCTGAAAAACCTTCGAGGGCCAGAGAACGTGACCGACCCGCCATGACAGCACGCACCAGGAGGTGTCCACGTGGCACTGGGGGGCGGGGGGCCTCGTTACCAGAAGGGTCGCGAGCGGCTACCAGCCCCCCAACTCGACGGCCCACCTTTACCTGCCGTAAAACCCAGCGTGCGCCGAGACGGGGGTGCGCACGGCCTGCCCGAGCAGCGGGGGGCGTGGGGAGGACACTCACTCCGTGTGTCCCAGGCAGAAGGACTCGATGCTGTGGGGCGCTGCCGACCAGCTGACACGGATCTTCTCGTCACGGTCCGCAGTGAGCACGTAGCGGTCATCGGGACTCACGGCCTGCGGCGCGGGGACAAGGGAAGGAAGATACAAAGGCTGTACCTCTGGAGCTGCAGCTGCGATGCCCCGGCTTCGCGTCCAGCCTCTGGGCCCCATCGATGCCCCAAAGGCCCCTTGGGAGGGAGCCTGCACCCAACCAAGAATGGGACGTGGGACTGGGGGACGCCAGGCTGGCTCCTGTCCTCCTCCAGACAGCCCTTGTCTAACCAGGGTCCAGGACCACCCAGCCCCTCCTTCTGCTCTGGGTGGGTCCTGAGGGCCACCCTAACCCCACCCTCAGCTCTGCACTAGCGAGAGACTTCCCTGGGTGCCACACTTCCTCGAGCTCAGCACACCTACAGATGTCCTCGTCCCCACCCACCACGCCCCTGATACAAGACCCTCGGCTCCAACCGTGCGGGGTCACCTCCCCATCTTCCTCTCATTCCCCCCATGCTCGTCACCAAGTCCTCCTGGTGCTTTCTCCTTCAGACACCCCCTGGTCCTCTCCTTTCCCTGCCTGGCTTCTGCCCCGTCACCCCCACCCACTGGCCCTCCCTGGGCCCTAGTCTGTAGACGGGATAGGACAGCGGCCAGCTCAGGGACTGCTGTGAAGACCAAACGAGCGCACGCCCGTGCCCGCTGCTCCTTCCTGCCTCCCTGCTCCATCACCAGACCTGGGCCTGATCCGACGTCTGGATCGCCCACCCACTTCCTACCTCCGTTCTCTCGTCTCCTGCAGAAAGGGCTCTAGAGGACGGCCCCCACCACGGGAGAGCCACACTCTCACCCAGACACCCAGGGTGCAAAGGTGCAGCCCCCCTCAGCTCATCTCCCGCTCCCCTCTCACCTCTACCCCAGGTCCTGGGAGGTGGGGGTATTTCCAGCTGTGCCCCTCCCTGCCTGCCTGACGGTCTCCACAGAGAAGCTGCCTGGTTGAGACCACATCGCCTCAAGGACAGGCGCTGATTCTCCCACCTAGCTGCAAGCCTCCAGGGGGCTCGTGTACCCTCCTCCGACCCTCGGCACCTCCGCACAGGGCTGAGTGCAGGCTGTGCAGACTTTCTGGGGGGCAGGGGACACTGATCACAGGGCTGGAGCCACGGGGGAGCACACTTGGCAATAACGACACTAAAGAGCAGACCCGAGGACTCGCTGTGCTGCCCTGCCTGGGAAAATCCTGCCCACCCTGCGGAACACGCCCCACGTCCCCAGACCCCCAGTCACTGCTTAGGACACGCACGTGCTTTACTTCCATAAAAGGACCGACACAATCAGGAAAGGTGTGCGTCAGGGTCGTGTACCCTTTCACCACACTTATTCAATCTGTATGCTGAGCAAGTAACCCGAGAAACTGAACTATATGAAGGAGAACGGGGCATCAGGATTGGAGGAAGACTCACTAACAACCTGCGATATGCAGACGACACAACCTTGCTGGCTGAAAGTGAAGAAGAGTCCAAGCACTTACTGATGAAGATCATGGACCACAGCCTTCAGTATGGATTACACCTCAACATAAAGAAAACAAAAGTCCTCACAACTGGACCAATAAGCAACACCATGATAAACAGAGAAAAGACTGAAGTTGTCAAGGATTTCATTTTACTTGGATCCACAATCAACATCCATGGAAGCAGCAGTCAGGAAATCAAACGATGTATTGCACTGGGCAGATCTACTGCAAAAGACCTCTTTAAAGTGTTGAAAAACAAAGATGTCACCTTAAAGACTAAGGTGCACCTGACCCAAGCTGTGGTGTTTTCAATCGCCTCGTATGCATGTGAAAGCTGGACAATGAATAAGCAAGACCGAAGAAAAACTGATACATTTGAATTAAGGTGTTGTCAAAGAATACTGAATATACCATGGACTGCCAGAAGAACAAACAAATCTGTGTTGGAAGAAGTACAGCCAGAACACTCCTTAGAAGGATGGCAAGACTTCATCTCATGCACTTTAAGCACATTATCAGGAGGGACCAGTCCCTGGAGAAGGACATCATGCTTGGTAAAGTAGAGGATCAGCGAAAAGAGAAGACCCTCAACGAGATGGGTTGACACAGCGGCTGCAAGAATGGGCTCAAGCATAACGATTGTGAATATGGCGCAGGACTCGGCTGTGTTTTGTTCTGTTGTACACAGGGTCGCTATGGGTGGGAACTGACTCGACAGCATCTAACAACAAGGACATAGAGCATCTTCATTTCATCTAATAAATGAACCACTCTCCCTGCCCTGAACTACTAGTCCTTTTTGTTCCTCTGCGTTGTTCTTACGCTCTGCCGCCATCACGGTTATTACTTACTTCTCCCAGGGCCTCTGGAGCGTCATGAGCCACCACAAGGGGGCCACATCTTCCCCACCCTCTCCATCTTCCCGAGACCTGTAGCCCAATGCCTTACACAAAACTAGCGCTCACGTTTCTGCCAAACAGACACGAGACCATTTGGCAAGCTCCCTCCCAGGAGTTATCCTAATAACACACCCATACAACATGTAGGAGAGCCGGACAGGGAACGGGCAAGGCGGACTCACGCAGCAGACGTCAGCAAAGCGATCGTCTACGTACCACATCCAACAGCATAGACAGGTGTCCCAGCTCAAGCTTCCCACGTCCCTGCGGCTCCAACACGGAGAAGGAATAGACGTCCCCAGACTTGTCGGCCACCAGAACCTTCTCCTCGGAGGCTGTGAATGTCAGGGCGGTACACCGCCTCACCACGGTCCTAGAGCCAGAGAGAGGTCCTAGGTTAGTTACTGAAATTAACCCAAGGTCCTCCACAGACCCTGAAGCCACATACTCAGTTGGTACAGGTCAAGTCCTCACCATATGTTTTCTTCCCGTTCCCCGACGGTGCCCAACAAGCAGAGCCATTAAAACAACTGCAACAAAGCCAATGCCTTAGACCAACTTTGCTTCTACCACTTTTCCTTGAAAAAAAATTGCTCCTCATGGTAAAATGCAGGTATTTGGATATAAAATTTTTTCCACTTTGCTGTGTTTGAAAAGTGTCAAATCAAAAGGCTGGAGAAACTGCTCCTGGACCCCAGAACCTCTGTGCTGCCCCTGGGGAGACAGCAGTCGGCTCCCCAAGTGACAAGTGGGCTCTGGGACACCATTAAAGACAGACAAAAGCACACCCCTACTTGGGAGCAGCCTTGGAGCTTCCACCAGCAGGGCCACCTGTGACTGCTCATGCCTGTTCTGTCACCTGGAACCAAGAATCCCACACATCCTGCCTGAGCTGCACCCCTCAGAAGAAGGGCTGTCTCTAACACCCCAAGAGTTGGAGCTAAATACAACCCCAGGCAGCAGTCCAAACACTTTGTGACCCTCCACGAGGCCACTCTCTGGATCGAGGGGCGAGTGCTGACCACAGGCACTGACAGCTGGACAGGCCAGACTTCCAGCTCGGTTCATGTTCACCGAGCACACGCCCCATCACATTTACAAGTTGGCTCAATGATGGTGTTAGCCCTAACAAGCAAAGTCAGGTGCGTGCTCCATTACGTAACCTGGGTCAGGATCTGCGCCATTTCCCTGTGTCGTTATCACCTGCCATCTCGTCTCTAAAGGAAGATAACGTGCTCACCATAAGGCAAGGAGTCTGGGCTTTACTTTATAAAGACGTAAGATGTAATACTCCTTGCACACAAACAGTAACGCTCAGCTCTTCACGGAAGAGCGGCTGCCCTCTGTGCCGGGATCCGTGGAGGCAGGCCCACGTTCGCAGGGCAGAACTGACGTCCACGCAGATCCCACTGCTGCTGGACTGCCATCACGTGTTAGCTGGAAACAAAACCTGCAGCTTTAAGGAATGACGTCCCCAACACGCGGACCGACGGGACCCTGCACTCCTGAGCTCGGGGACAAAGGGACAAGAGAAGAAAAGGACAAAGCCCTGCCACTGTTCTCCTGTTCATCTGCACAGTGCCGCCTGCAGCAGCTGAAACTCCTCCCCGGCCACAGAACCGCAGGAAGGGCGCTGTCATGTGATAAATACGGAGAAAACAATGACAAAAGAAAGACAATTAAGCTGTGGGGGGCAAGATTCATCAAATTCGCAGTGTGTGCTGTCACTGAAACAGCCTGTGAGGGGCCGGCAACGGGGCCGGCAACACGGTCCTGCGTTCTAACTGGCCACTTAAGCAGCTGCGACAAAGCCCCAACCACGGCATCGACGGAAGCAGCCTGAGACTGAAGTTCACAGCAAACAACGGCCCTAGGACTGATGAGCTCGTCCACATCTGGGCACCGATGGTCCCTCCCCCGCTGCACCCATCCCCATCCTGGTCTCTGCCTCCCCACCTGCCTCCACAAACATGGACTTCCTTATCCATCCCTTTGTCCCATGCTCTCAGCGGCTCAGGATGAGTGTGGCCTGGCCAGGGTTCCAGGGCACGGCCCACTGAATGGCCTGATATTCGTGTCTGTTATGGGGCGAACTGTGTTCCCCAGAAGTGTATGCTGAAGTCCTAACTGCAGCCGGGCCTCCACACACCCAGGTGAGGCGTTGAGTTCTGGCCTCCTCTCCCTCCGCAGGGACGCGCTGACCGGCCTCTGCTCCCGCTCGAGGGCAGCAGCCACTCCCCAGACAGCACCTCTATCGACAGCCGTAACACCTGTCACCCCCTCTCCTCAGATTCCCAGAGGGAGAGCCCGTCCCAACAGTGCTCACAGTGGGGACCACCCGAGGGTCCAACAATGGGGAGCGACACACTTTTCACCAGACACTATGACAGTCGCTAGCTGGGGGAAACCCGGCCACTGCTTAGCACATGTCCAACGCTACAACTCAGCATCTGCAAAGGCTCCACCAGCAGAGAGACAAGCGGGAAGGACCCGCACCGCCATGTTCATTATCCACAGGGGATCTCTCTGGATGGGGAGGTTAAGGGTGGTTTTTATTCCCACTTTGCACTCTTCCATAGTTGGGAAAAATGGAGAACAGTAACGTGGTCGGGCACCAAACTGTACTGAGAGGAACTGGATGGAACCACCCAGAACTCAGTTTCCCTGATCTGATCTACCATCCCCCAGAGAGAACACCGGGTACCCGTCTGCAAAGGGCACGAACTGTGATGTCAACACGCACAGCACACATCTGCACCCGTGTCCCTTGGCTGGCCTTCATAACGTTTGCCAGGCGAGGAAAATAGCCTGGGAACCGGGAATCTAACGTCCCAACGGCTATAAAGGGACCTCACTTCACACGTCTGTGTCCCTGAAAGATACAAGAAAGGGAGGTTTCTGCAGACAGACTTACATTTAAAACAAACAGGAAAATCCTAAATTTCCTAATATATAGTCAACAAAAAACGACCAACAAGCAACAGGAAAAACAATAATAATAATACAGTTCACTGGAGCCCTGGTGGCACAGTGGTTACAAGCTTGGTTGCTCACCAAAAGGTCAGCAGTTCACATCCACCAGCTGCTCCTTTGAAACCCTATGGGGTAGTTCACTCTGTCCTGTAGGGTCACTATGATTTCAAAATCAACTCCACGGCAACCAGCAACAGGATACAGTTACAAAACACAAATGTTTCTTATGCACATAAAAGTTGCTCTCCCTCACTCAGGATAAAACAAGAACACAAGACATGATTTTTCTTCTGTCAGACTGAGATGGTAAAGTTTGCTTGCTAACACCCTGTGTTGTCCACGCAGGGTGGGGAAAAGAAGCACCCTTACGCTCTGGGAGATAAGGAGGTACAACCCCTTTGGGCAATTTGGAATTATCTACAAAAATTACAAATGCACATACCTTCTGAACCAGCCATTTGCGGACTTGCCCCTAAAGACATGCTAACAAATGGAAAATATGACATCTTTGCATACATATTCAGTGAAGGCCTTTGTGAAACAGAAGCAAGCAAAACGCAAGCAAAAAATGTCCGTCCACACTGGGATGGTTATCCACTTAAGCAGATCCACACAGCCACATCACTCTCTGGTTTCTCAGTCTTCGGAAAGTCTTCACCTGGGCTGACATTTCTCTCACCGTTCCAGGGTGCCTCCAGGAGCCGCAACAGCGTAAGTTTAATTCTCATCCCAACACAACCCTTCAATCCTATAAGACACGCAGGTCTTCTGTTACCCAGGCCAAACACCCCTGTGATCATTCCTCAAGCTTCCTCACAAACCTGGGTGGCCTGCTGCAGGTTTACGAAGTCCAGGGGTCATAGGTCGAGGGGCAACTTGAGTTCTGTGATACGGAGCCATACAAAGTGCGGTCCACAGCCTGACAGCAATGGAGGGCTTGAGGAAAACGCAGACGTTCAGGGCCCCCAGGAGTACAGAGTCAGAGGCCACACTGCAACAAGGTGCCCCAGTGAAGCCTGGGCACAGGCGTTTCAGAAGCACTGAACTTGGATCTGCCATCAGATTCCATTCACTCGTTCACTTTTTTCTTCTTGGGGCCGAAGTCCCTTCTGAGAAACTAACGAACCTACCACAGGCAAACTGAGTGGGCAGTGCCAGAAAGGTGTGGTTCCTTACCAACCTCTTTTACAACCAGGCCGGTTGCCAACGAGTCAACTGACTCATGGCGACCCCATGTGTGTCTGAGTAGAACTGCACTCCACAGGATTTTCAATGGCGGATGTTTTGGAAGTAGGCTGCCATGTCCTTCTTTAGAGGTTCCTCTGGGTGGACTTGAACCATCAACCTTTCGGTTAGTAGCCGAGCGTGAACCATTTGTAGCACACAGGAGCCCCTTCTTCTGCAGAGGCAAGATGAAGTCCTTGCCACTACGTAGCCTACTTTAAACACGCCCCTCCCCTGCAGGTTCTGAAACAACTCAAAACCAAGGTCAACCAACAAGGCGTTTTTCAGACAGTGAAACTACGATGCACAATACTGTAATGGTGGACACAGGACATCATGCATCTTTCAAAACTCATAGGACTAGTCAACACAGTGAACGGTAATGTGAACTATGAACTTTAGTAACAATGCATTATTGACTGAATTGTGTCCCACCAAAATACATGCTGTACATCCCAACCTCTATGCCTGTGGTTATAATCCCATTTGGGAACGGGCTCTCATGTTATGTTAATGAGGCAGCATTACTGTAAGGCGTGTCTTGAGTCAATTTCTCCTGAGATATAAAAGAGACTAAGTGAGCAGAGGAGAGATGGGGGAAGAGAGATGCCAAATTACATAAAGATCACCAAAAACAGAAGATCGGAAGAGGCAAGAACGTTCCTCCAGAGCAGACAGAGACAGAAAGCCTTCCCCTAGAACTGGCGCCCTGAATTCGGACTTCTAGCCTCCTAAACTGTGCAAAAATAAATTTGTTTGTGAAAGCCACTCACTTGTGGTATTTCTGTTACAGCAGCACTAGATAACTAAGACACAATGTACCAATACCGATTCATCAGTTGTAACAAATGTACCACAGGAAGCCAAGATATTAATAACAGAAAGAAACCCTGCAGGGAGAATAAGGGCAGACGGGAACTCTCTACTTACTGCGCAATTTTTCAGTAAACTTAAAACGTCTCTAAAAAATAAAGTGTTCTTAAGAAAAAAAAATCTAAGGCCAACCGCCACAACTCGTCTGTCAGTTTATGCAATGGTGGCTTGCGTGCTGCTGTGATGCTGGAAGCTACGTCACCAGTATTTCAAATACCAGCAGGGTCACCATGGTGGAGAGGTTTCAGTGGAGCTCCCAGACGAAGTCAGACTAGGGAGAAGGACCTGGTGATCTACTTCTGAAAGACTGGCCAGTGAAAACCTTATCAATAGAAGTAGAATACTGTCTGATATAGTGCCGGAAGACGAGCCCCTCAGGCTGGAAGGCACTCAAGATACGACTGGGGAAGAGCTGCCTCCTAGAAGTAGAGTCAACCTTAATGATGTGGATGGAGTCAAGCTTTTGAGAACCTTCATCTGCTGATATGGCATGAGTCAAAATGAGAAGACACAGCTGCAAACATCCATCAGTAATCAGAACACGAAATAGACGAAGTATGCATATAGGAAAATTGAAAGCTGTCAAAAACGAAAGGGAACACTTGAAGATCGATATCCTAGGCAATAGTGAGCTCAAATGGATTGGGACTGGCCATTCTGAATTGAACAATCATACAGACTACTATGCAGGGAATGACAAATTAAACAGAAGAGTATCCCATTCATCATCAAAGAGAACATTTCAAGATCTATCCAGAAATGTCATGCTGTCAGTGACAGGATAATATCCATACGCCTACAAGGAAGACCAGTTAATATGACTATTATTCAAATTTACGCACCAACCACTAAGGCCAAAAATGAAAAAATCGAAGGTTTTTTACCAACTTCTGCAGTCTGAAATTGATCAAACATGCAATCGAGATGCACTGATAATTACTGGTGATTGGAATGCAAAAGCTGGAAACAAAGGAGAAGGATCAAGTCATTGGAAAACATGGCCTTGGTGATAAGAAATGACACCGGCGATCATGGGACAGAATTTTACAAGACCAACAACCTGTTCGTTGGAAATACCTTTTTTCAACAACATAAATGGCAAATATACACTTGGACCTCACTAAATGGAATCAAACTGACTACATCTGTGGACAGAGATGATGGAGAAGCTCAATATCGTTGGTCAGAAGAAGGCCAGGGGCCGACTGCGAACAGATCAACTGCTCATATGTAAGTTCAACTTGAAGCTGAAGAAAATTAAAACAAGTCCACATAAGCCAAAGTACAAGCTTGAGTATATCCCACCTGAATTTAGAGACCATCTCAAGAATAGATTTGACATGCTGAATGCTAATTACCAAAGACCAGACAAGTTGTGGGATGACATCAAGGACCTCATACATGAAGAAAGCAAAAGGTCATTATAAAGACAGGAAAGACCCAAATGGATGTCAGAAGGGAGTCTGAAACTTGCTCGTGAACTTAGAGTAGCTAAGGCAAACAGAAGAAATAATGAAGAAAAAGAGCTGAACAGAAGACGTCAAAGGGTATCTCGTGAAGACAAAGTCAAGTATAACAACATGTGCAAAGACCTGGAGTTAGAAAACCAAAACGGAAGAACATGCTCAGTATTTCTCCAGCTGAAAGAACTGAAGAAAAAATTCAAGCCCTGATTGCAATTTTGAAGGATTCTATGGGCAAAATGTTAAACAATGCAAAAGGTATCACAAGAAGATGGAAGGAATAGAGAGTCACTGTACCAAAAGAATTGGTCAATGTTCAATCATTTCAGGAGTTAGCATATGATCAAAAACCAATGATACTGAAGGAAGAAGTCCAAGCTGCACCGAAGACACTGGCATAAAACAAGGCACCAGGAACAGACAGAATACCAATTGAGATGTTTTAGCAAATGCTCACTTGTCTATGCCAAGAAATCTGGAAGAGAGCTACCTGGCCAACTAACTGGAAAAGATTCATATTTGTGCCCATTCCAAAGAAAGGGGAGCCAACAGAATGCAGATATTATTAAAAAATATCATTAATACCACACGCAAGTAAAATTATGCTAAGGATAATTCAAAAATGGTTGCAGCAGTTATCAACAGGGAACTGCCACAAGTTCAAGCCAGATTCAGAAGAGGACGTGGAACAAGGGATATCACTGCTGATGTCCGATGGATCTTGGCTGGAAGCAGAGAATACCAGAAAGATATTTACCTGTGTTACACTGACTATGCAAAAGCATCTGACTATATGGATCATCACAAATTATGGATAACATTGCGAAGAATGGGAATTCCAGAACACTTCATTGTGCTCATTTGGAACTTATACTTAGACCAAGAGAAAGTCATTTGAACAGAACAAGTGAATACTGTGTGGCTTAAAATCAGGAAAGCTGTGCATCAGGGTTGTATCCTTTCACCATACTTATTCAATCTGTATGCTAAGCGAATAATCCCAGAAGCTGGACTATATGAAGAAGAACACAGCATCAGGATTGGAGAAAGACTCATTAACAACCTGCAATATGCAGATGACACAATCTTGCTCGCTGAATGTGAAGAGGACTTGAAGCACTTACTGATGAAATCAAAGACCACAGCCTTCAGTACGGATTACACCTCAACATAACAAAATCAAAATCCTCACAACTGGACCAATAAGCACATCATGATAAACAGAGAAAATATCGAAGTTGTCTAGGATTTCATTTTACTTGGATCGACAATCAACAACCATAAAATCTGCAGTCGAGAAATCAAACGACGCATTGCATTGGGTAAATCTGCTGCAAAACACCTCTTTAAAGTATTAAAAAGAAAAAATGTCAGTTTGAGGACTAAGGTGCACCTGACTCAAGCCGTGCTATTTTCAATCACCTCATACGCA